AAGTTTAGGCAGATATATATAACCAAGCCGACTGTTTTTTTTGCGGCTCGGCTTCGGCTCCCAGCTCGGCTCGAGCTCCTTAACTTTATGAACAAAAATCGCAAGCTTTAAAACTTTTTTTTTGATCACATTTGCCAACTTAAAACTATACCAGTTACAGCAATTAATTTTTAACCAACTTTCATGATTACAAGGTTACTATTACATGTATTAATACATGGTAATATATTACTATCACTACTCTACTACAGGATATTACATTTGAGAGAAAATTTTTTTGGGTAAAAAAACACTTTTTTCTATATATTATTTACCCATAATTAATGTTTTTGGTTCAAATTTTAGTTCAAATTCTACCCAAGGACACAGTACTTAAAAAAGACCTCTTTTGAGCGTCCCAAAGACGTCCAAAAGGTATCCTAAACGTCCAACTCCAAAGCAAAATTTTTGAAAAAATCTTTGAATTCTTTAAATAATATTGCGCGATAATTAAAAATTTTTTTTTTTACAAATTTTGAAATATTCTTTAAGGTTTAGCATAAACACAAGGTTAATTAAATGTTTTGTACATGCACGCGCAATACCAAGAAATTTTACTATCGGAGTCGGAGTCGCGATATTTTTTAGCGACTCCGACTCTAACTCCGGTAAAATTGTTGCAACCCCGCAACTCTGACTCCGACTCTTACTCCACAGCCATGCTTATGCCAATGTTTGTAAATTTATTTGGCTCACTTATACTAATTCGCACTTATACTAGTTCGCACTTGTGCCAGTTTTTGTAACTGTTTCGGATTTATACAAGTTCGCACTTACGTCATTCGCACTTATGCCAGTACGCACTTATAATATTCACACTTATTCAGTCGTCCCCAAAAAAAAAACAACGTAAAAACGTAAACTTATTAAAAAAAAATAGTTCACTTCCATTTTTTATACTTATAATGCTTAAACGTAAAAAAAATTTAAAAATAAAAAAACAAAAAAACGTAAAAAAAAAACTACTACAAAAAATATAATATTTTTAAACTACCTGCTATATTTTATATTATATTTATATTGTAATTTTTATATGGTTCTGGCGACAAGATCGATATGATCTTCTTTTAGATTCCAAGTTTATATGTTTATATTACATGTTTATCGATTTACATGTAACATAAACATATAAACTTGGAATCTAAAAGAAGATCATATTGATCTTGTCACCAGAAGCATATAAAAATTACAATATAAATATAATATAAAATATTACAGGTAGTTGAAAAATATTATACTTTTTTGTAGTATTTTTTTTTGTAACGAATTTTTTTACTTTTTTTTTTTTTTTTAAGTGAACTATTTTTTTTTATTAGGCTCACGTTTTTACGTTTTTTTTTTTTTTTTTTTAAGGACGACTGAATAAGGGAGCATTTTATAAGTGCGAGCTGGCATTTTTATAAGTGACTATTTCATAAGTGCGAATGTCGTAAGTGCGAACTGGCATAAAAGCGAATTTGCATAAGTGCGAACTGGCATAAATGCGAAACAGTTACAAAAACTGGCACAAGTGCGAACTAGCATAAGTGCAAAATGGTATAAGTGCGCTAAATAAATTTACAAACATTGCCATAAGTGCTTCGCACTTATGGCAGTGGCCACATATTCGCGCATATGCAGCCTCACGTTTTTTTTTTGCGTTGTTTTTATTACATTTTTTAATTATGGTTTTAATTATGTAAGTATCAGATATGGAAGTGAACCACGTTCAATAATTTTGCTTGCATTTGTTAAAAATCTCTTACTTGATTTAAAAAACAGTTGTTTATAATTTTAAGGTGGTACAACACCAAAAAAACTAGAAAACTAAAAATTTTTTTGAGTTTTTCAATTTTGCATAAAATATGTGTCAAATTAATCAAAGAACGTTTAGCCAAAGTTTCAGAGCTAAATAATTTATCTTTCTTTAGATATAAGCATTTTATTAGAACACTGTGTATCTTTTTTTCCTTAGCAACGGAGATACTAAATATTTAACATGGTTGTTAGGGCAATTTCTCCCTAAAAATAAACTCAATTTTACTGGAGTTTTCAAGCTTTGTAAGCTTGATGTCACTTCTATGTTTTCCGAATTGAAATTCAATTAAAAGTCATTGTTCTTAACCACTAAACACGTTTTGTAACAACTAACAGATTTGTTATTGTTTGTTTACCCTTTGGATTTATATTATATATATATATTATATAAATATATTTAAAAGAAATGTCAAACAAATCTGATATTCTTAAATCAAAACCTGCAGATCATGAGATTTCTTGTGTTAGCTCAAGAAAGTTAGATGTATCGTTCAGCTCGGATAAATGTGACTCTGACGACTTTTTTATACTTATTAACTTTTTATTGTTAAAGAAATTAATTGCACACACTGTTTGCCCCAATTGCTTTATTGGAAATTTGTTAATCAAAGATAACGTTAATTCTCGCATGGGCTTTTGTCATTTACTTGAGATGATGTGTACAAAGTGTAACTTTTCTAAAAATTTTAGAACTTCACCAAAGTCAAAGAATTCTTTAAACACAAATGAGTTTCCTATTGATACTGTATTTCCTATTTATAAAAAAGAACTTTCATCTCTAGAATCACCATATGAGATCAACCTGCGAGCTGTCATCGGATTGCGAGAAATAGGTGCTGGCCATGAGTCTATGAAAACTTTTTCCTTCTGTATGAATCTTTATTGTTTGTCGCCTAATGGCTTTAATAAGTTAAATAAAACTGCCATGTTAGTATACAAAATTGCTGCTGAGGAAAGTATGCAAAAAGCTGCTTTTGAAACCAAATCAATAAACAACTCTCTTGAAATGAAAGAAGTTAGAATTTCTATTGATGGTTCATGGCAAAAGCGAGGTCATAATTCGTTGAATGGTGTTGTAACTGCTGTTTGTAGTGATAAATGTATTGATGCAGAGATATTTACCAAACATTGCAATGGATGTAAAATGTGGAGATCTAAAAAAGGAACTCCAGAGTATCAGTGTTGGTTGGTTGATCACCAGTGTGAATCGAATCACAAGGGTTCATCGGGTAGTATGGAGCTGTAGGAGCTGTGGCTATGTTTAAGAGATCTTTACAAAAAAATAAGTTGATATATAAAGAATATCTAGGAGATAGAGATACATCTTCTTTTAATGATGTAATAGAAGCAGATCCTTACAAAGAGTATGGTATTATGCCTGTAAAACTGGAATGTGTTGGACATGTTCAAAAACGGTTAGGAACACGTCTACGAAACCTTGTCAAAGCTCAAAAAGGTACTAAAAAACCAATATCAGGCAGAGGTAAACTCACTGAAAACTGCATTAATTCAATGCAAAATTTCTATGGTCTTGCAATCAGATCTAATGTGGGAAACTTGTATTCAATGAAAAAAGCAGTTTATGCCATACTTTTCCATTTCATCAATTTTCCTGATTCCTACACACGCCACCAGTTTTGTCCTCGTGGAAAATATAGTTGGTGCAAATACTGGGCTCTAAATCAAAAGAATTATAAACCCAAATCTACCATACCTCTGTGGATAAAAGATTTAATTCTACGAATAATTATAAATTTACAATCAGATGAATTGTTATCAAAATGTTTACATGGAAACACACAAAATGCTAACGAGGCACATAATGGACTTATTTGGGCTCGTGTACCAAAAAGAGTTTTTGTTTCTAAATCAACACTGGAAATGGGAACGCATTCAGCTATTTTAGCATACAATGATGGTGCAAAGGGTGTTATTAGTGTTTTTAGACATTATGGTTTACATGGTAAGGTATCAAATATTTCAGCGACTTCTAAAAATAAAAAAAGGATTAGTCAAATGAGGTGCAAGTCATCAGAGAAGGGAAAAAAAAGAAGAAAAACTCTTAGAGCCATTAAAAAAGGTCACCTAGATGAGGAGAAAGCAAAAGAATGTAATGACAGTTATGTTTCAGGAGGATTTTAAATTAATATTGTAAATATTATATCAAGAATTTTTCAATGCTGTTTATCTCAGTTCGCGTTTTTTTATTTTTGCTTAAACTTCAAAACACAGTTTCTTGAGTTAGCATTGTTCATTTGATCTGAAATTTTCAGTACTTGCTCGTAATACCTATAAAATTCATTTAACAGATGGATTTTTTTTTATGATCAGTAATTTTTTTTTTTTTTTTGTCAGATCTCTCTAAAACGTCAAAAAATAAATAAAATATGAGGAAAAACTACATAACTCATCATTTACTTTGATATTTAAAAAATCTATCTGTTAAATGAAATAAAATAGTGTTTAGAGTAAGTGTACAAAATTTCAGGTCATATAATGATGGCTATTTAGTCCAAAAACACATTTTTTAATAGTTTTTCTATTTTTTTAAATATCTATTTAGTCCAAAAACACATTTTTTAATAGTTTTTCCGCCATTATGGTCCTAATGCTAATTAAAAAAAATTTTTTTTTTTGCTTTTTTTTATTTAAATCATTTGAGTAAACTGTATTTAATAGCATTTTTATTTTGGAGGTTTATTTCATTTTTTTATTTATTTAGTGTTGTACCACCTTAAAGGTCTTTTTCGTGAAACGAAAAAGACCTTTAAGGTGGTACAACACTAAATAAATAAAAAAAAGGTTTTTTTCGTGAAATACGAACTGTTTCGTGAAACGAAACAGTTCGTATCACGCAAGAAAGTGGACGAAATATATATAAAAATTAAAATAGTCAACACAAACAAATCGTAAGTTTTATTATTTTGATTATTATATAAAAATTTCTAACCAATACGCTTTTGTAATTATGTTTTTGATTTATTCATTTATAATTAGTATAAATTAATAAATCCTAAACAAAATTACAAAAGCGCATTGCTTAAAAGTTTTCATAATAAGTATTGTTTTTTTTTTTTTTTTTATATATATATAACAAAAGAAAAGATAAATTATCATCTTTTTTTGGTTCATGATTTTATTTTTTAACTTACAAGTCTTGTTATTAATTTTAGTTTTTAAATACAAGTACAAATATTGAAAAAAGATGAAGTTATTTTGAAAATAGAATCATGACAGCAAATGGAAATTTTAGAAACTAGACTAAGAAAAGTTTATTCTGGATCTGCAATGGAGCAAATGTTGGTATGAATATTATTTACTTTTATTTAGGTACGCGGAAATCGCGATTTACGGAATCTATTTTAAGCTAAAATTTTGGCTCTCGTTTTTTTAACTCTTTTTTAGGCAGCGTGAGGCAGACGTAGTTTTGTGCAGTTTTTTTATAAAAACATATATACACGTGATACTTTTTGGAAAGAAGAAAAGCTAGTCCACTTTTTTTTATTATTAAAATAGTTTGCTTCATTTTCTATAAACTTTCAACGAAAAATAGTTATAGGGATTTAGTATAGTGTTGGACCTAATTTCGATTTTTCTGTTATTTTTTTTGGTAAGCGAAATTCAGGTGGGGCGGAAATCCGGATAAAGAGACGATATTTCAATAAAGTTTCATCAAACATGGTTTTACAAATTAAAATTATATATATATATTTTATATTTATAAAATTGGTAAATAATGTTCAAAGTAAATTTATTTATTTAAGTTAGTTATCTTGGTGTCATTGGCCAACATTAAGGATATGACGAGGAAAGTATTAACAGCTTTGATAACTAATGTTTTAGCTAGTGAATTAAACTTCATGAGAAATGGGAAAAAAAATTTCAATCCTTACGATAAGAAAAAATATCAATGGTAATTTATGAAACTTATATTTTTTTACATTTTTTATGCAATTTAAAGAAATGCCTTATGCATAACTTTTTATACCATTTTTTATAAATTTAAATATATGCATGATGCCTTAGTTTATTTATATATTATATATATTTGTATTATTATATTTGTTAACATATATATTTATATTGTTATATATACCTATATTTATTTGACTCATTTTCATATGGTTAATTGGTATGTTGTTTGGAACATAAACAAATACAATGAATAGTTTAACTTTATTTCAACCAAAAGTTTTCGTTTAATGAAATCAAAAGATATTTTATTAGAAAAACAAATATACTGGAAGTTGATCCAGGTGGTTTTTAAGAAATTCAAATTTGTTTCCTCTATCGAAAGTTTTTAAAATTAATTGTTTTTATTCTTACCAATATTAATCAATAATGTCACTTTTAAGGAGTGAATCAAAAACTCAAAAATATAAAAATAATGTTATATTAAAAGCAAAAGTTTTGAATTGTAACAAATTTATATGTTGATTTTGTAATTACATACTAAGTTTCACTTTAGATTAAATAAGTTAATACTTAGATTTAAAAATCTTAGTAAAGAGTAGTTGAAATCTTATGAATAACGTAATTCAAACTGTGATAATACTTTATGGGTATGATAGAAAATATAAATTTATAAAAGATTTTGCATTAATGTTTTATTTCCTTACTTATATATTAGTTTGCTTTTCAGAGGAAGAAAGATATATTCTGATTAAGAACAATGCTTCATTAAACAATGAAGATGCATAAAGATGACAAATCTCCCGCAATGCAGAAACATCTCTAGTTATAACTAGTAACATTAAATCAACTGAATAATTAGCGAACCGTATACCGACATGCTTCGAAAGTTTGTAAAATATTGATTGTTAACTATTTTTTATATTTTTATTATTTAATAATTATTTAAACTGTATAAAAAAAAGTTAAGATAATAATTGAAAAATTATTTCGTTGTTTTATAATGTATTTTTTGATTATTTCCCATTCTATTTTACAATCGCTATGAATAGTAGTCGCTTTTTTAAATCTCATTTATTGATCGAAACTAAAGCGGGCTAAAGTCCTTTTACCGATCTCGGCCCGACGTCATTTCACTGATATCGGCCCAACGTTGTTTTGCTGATTTCACCCGATGTCATTTTACTTATATAGGCCCGATGTCCTTTAACTGATATCGGCCCGATCCCAGATAACATGAACACATTAGCCCGTCGGTATAACCCGTCGGTATAACGCGTTATACCGACGCAATTTTTCTAGCTGATATAAAACACGTTGGCCCGACGTTAACGTAGAAAATGCAATGTTTTAAATTGTCGTTGTGGTTTTCTGCAGCTTACTCAATAATTGAGTAAACAAAGCGCAGAAAACCACAATGCTTATTTAAAACATAGTTATGCCGTAGTAAGATTTATTTAAGTTAAAATAGTCAACACTAACAAATCGTAAGTTTCTTGAAATTTTTTTTTATACAATTTATTTTACAGAAGTAAGGTAGACGTAGTTTTGTGGAATTTAATTTTTTAGAAACATATACACATATATACTTAGTTTTTTAAAGACTTTTAAGTAGGGTTCCTAACTTTATTATGGGATATTATGCTCCTGAATATTAGGATGATGTTTTCTTATGAATTTCTGGTCGATGAAATGTCAGCTTTTTTTATTATTTAAATAGTTTGTTTCATGCATTTTCTATTCATATGCCAAATTTCAATGAAAAATAATAATAAGGAATTAGTTTAATTAATTTTATACCAAGTTTACCACTTTTTTCAGGTAGCCCTAGGCAAACGGTTTTTTGAGGTAGCTCTTTTTAGAAACATATATAAACCTTGACAGCTTTTAAAAAGAAGAAAGGTTAGGCTTGATTTTTATATAAATATTATTTATTGCTACCATACTTTTTTATGGATTATTTTGATGAGAATTTTGCATGAAAATTTGGTTAATGTTATCACAAGATTTGTAGTTAAAGAAATGTAGAACCTGATTTTTTTATTATAAAAATAGTTTCATGCATTTTCTATGAACTTGCCAAACTTCAACGAAAAATAATTATAAACAAATAATCTAATAAGTGTTGGACTTTATGAAGTACCTATAGGTACCTAATTTCGGTTTTTCTGTTGTTTTTTTTTGGTAATCGAAATCCGGGTGGGGCTGAATTCCGGATAAAGGGGTGATGTTTAATAAAAGTTTTATTAAACATGGTTTTACAAACTAAAAATATATATATATACATTTTTTTTATATTTATAAAATTTGTAATTGTTATTCAAAGTAAATTTATTTATTTAGGTTAGTTATCTTGGAGTCATTGTCGTGCCAATATTAAAGACATGACAAGGAGAACATTAACAGCTTTGATAACATCTTATTTTAGCTAATAAATTAAAATTAATGGAACATGGGGACAAACATGCATTTTTAGTCCTTATGATAAAAAAAATTTTCAATGGTAATTATGATACTTACATATTTTACCTTTTTTATGGAATTTAGAGAAATGCCAAAATGCATAATTTTTTATACTATTTTTTATAAATTTAAATATATGCATGATGCCTTAATTTCTAATTCAGCCTCCAAAACTTTATAAACCGTCCTAAGTCAGTGTCTATATGCATTAAAAATTTAAATAAAAAAAGATTATGCTGCAATGACTGTTTTATATTAATTGCTTGTTTAACCAATTTTCGATATTTAAGGCGAAAAACCATACTTATTAAATTAACAAGTATGGTTCATAGAATAAATCTTAGTGAAGAGTAGTTGAAATCTTATGACTAATGTGTTTTAAACTGTGATAATACTTCATGGATCAAAGAAAATTAAAGCTTTATCAAGAGTAAAACCCTTTCATTTAGAGTTTCATTTACAACAAGCAAAAGAAATTGACAGCACTGATGCATCAAAAATTTAATTTAGTTGGGCAGATATTAGTAAAAGGACATTTGCTCGCTTTAATTTTGATTAATAAATGAGATTACAAAAGCGACTACTATTCATAGCGATTATAAATTAAAATGGGAAATTATAAAAAAACACATAATAAAACAACGAAACAATTATTTGTTATTCTATTATTATCTTAACTAATTTTTGTACAGTTTAAATAATTATTAAATAATAAAAATATAGCAAATAATTTACCAACTTTCGAAGCATGTCGATATAGGGTAAGGCGGGGCAAGTTCGTTATGTTTTACTTTAACAAAACGAATTCGCGAATAATTAAGTTAACTTTTTTAGTTTAAAAACTAGAAAAGTTAACTTATTTATTCGCGAATTCGTCAGTACAGATAAACTAATTGAAAAATTCGTCACGCGGGCGATAGACGAAATTCCTTTCTAGTGGTAAAGGCTGCTTACCTAGGAGAAAAAAAAACTTTGACATAAAACATTTTTGAGGTCACAGTAGGATGATTCCTCTAATCTAAATTAGTAAACCTAGAAGTTGCGAGTTCGATTTCCATCGCGTCCCTGGTAGTACCGCGCTCAACTTGTTTCTCCGTGCAGTGACCTTGATCGTCAAGGTTCATGTTTCAGAGTTATAGAGTTGAAAGAGAGTTGTACCCACAACTAAAGTAGCCTCCTCAACTACAATGGCCTTCATGGCCTTGAGGAGGTGAATTGAAAAGTAAAAATCTAAAAGGACATCAATTGTTCAACTTTTTCGTAGAAAATATCAAATAATGATTTTGGCATAAATAAAAACCGTATAACCACGCAAGTGCAAAAAATAGCACGTTAAAGCAATTACAAAAATTATATCACTACTATAACTATTTAAGAATTTACAAGACGTTTATATATGCTTTGTACAAAATTTGTACATGTATCAACTCCAAAACATCCTTCGCGTACCCACTGATTGCAACTTAAACATTTAAACCAATCTTCACTTGCTTCTGCCCAAACAGCTGCCCAAACACGACAAAATTCTTTTTCAGTGTTATTATTTAGATTAATACTTGAAGAACCTGAGTAATAAGAATCAGCTGAAAAAAAAGCATTCTTTGATTTGTTTTTAATTGATTTATTGTGATCCTTTTTTGACTTCTGTTTAACACTGACCAGCTTCTGTTTAACATTCCAGCTTTTTTAGCAGGAGGCTCTTTTATTAACTTAACATTATCTGGTGATGTAATAAGAGCAATGTGGCGTTTTGAATCAGGTTTGCTTTTTTTATCAGGAGAAGGTACAATAGTTCTTAAAATTTTGTTACTCGTTTTTTTCACATTTTTTTAGGCAGCGTGGGTTACCATTTAGAAACATATATACACATAGATACTTTTTGGAAAGAAGAGAAGCTAATCTTTTTTTTTTTTTTTAACTTTTATGTATGGTTACTAAACTTTTCAACGGATTATTTTGCTCCTGAATATTTGGTTGATGTTTTCACGTGAATTTGTAGTCGAAGGCATGAAGTTTTCATTTTTTTTTGAAGTTTTCATTTTATATAAAAATATACAAATGCCATTATTATACTTTAAAGTAAAACTTTATTGGCTTAAGCCAATACAGTTTTTGACAAAATATTTTTAGAATAATATTATTGTTGATATTTTTACAAGAATAAGCTTATTATTAATAAACTTATTTTTGTAAAAATATCAAGATACCTTTACAATAATAAGTTTATTCTTATAAAAGTATCTTGTTAGTGTTTTTCTAATATACAGTAATATAATTTTAAAATACAGTAATATAATTTATTTTTTTATTTTTATTTTTTGTTAGAAAAGTTGTTGTACGTAAAACAGAACTGATTTGATAACTGTTATTTTTATTGACTGTTGACAATATCAAGATGTTTTTTTTTTGATTATATAACTTTTTTGTTATCTTTAGGCCAATTTGCACAGACAACAGCTGGCAAGTTATTGTAGCATAACTTTTATTAACCATTAAAAAATATAAATAAATATGTTTTTCTTACTTACTTATTTATTACTTGTCGTGTATGGATTTCCCACTTGCTGCAATATTAATTTTTTAATTTTAGTATCTACCTCATGTGCTACACCTGGTAAGTTACACAACTCTTAATTTTTAATGTGCAAACTTTACAATATCTTTAATTTTAGTTCCTTAGTCAGCTGCTGCAACTAGTAGTTTAAAAATTTAATAAATTTAATATGTGTATGCATTTCTCGTTATTTGCAATATTGATTTTTTGTTACAACTTTGTAATTTTATTATCTACCTCTTGTTCTACACCTGGTAAGTTAAACAACAATTAGTTTTTATTGTGCGAACTTTATAGTATGTTTAACTGTAGTTCCTTAGTCATCTGCAACTAGTAATTTAAAAAACTATCACATTTAATACAGTGGCGGAACTACTGGACGCAGGACCCTGCGTTGCGGGGGGGGGGGGCCTACCAGCTATAGGGGGCCCTCATATAAAAAAAGCTATACTCTCAATAATATTTATACTATAAAACTCTTTTCCGCAAAAAAAAACATTCTTTTGCGGGGGGGGGGGGGCAAATTTTGAAGTTCCGCCACTGATTTAATATGTGTATGCACTTCTTGTTATTTGCAATATTGATTTTTTTACAACTTTGTAATTTTAGTATCTACCTTTTGTGCTACACCTTGTAAGTTAAACAACTCTTTTTAATGCGCACAAAGTTCTCATTGATTGTAATATTGATTTTTATAAGATATTTTTAATCTTTAGTTATTTCTACATGTGTTACACCTGGTTAGTTTCAAAACCTTTTTTCTTTTAATATGTGTAAGCATTTCTTATCAATTGCATATTCTTTTTTGAATTTTCTTTTTTGCAATTGCATTTCTCATCAAATGGTTTTTGATGAAAACTTTTTATATAT